TGCTCTTCTAATCCTAGCCTTTGCTCTTTTCAAATATATATTTATTTAATGTCGACTAATATCAGTTGGCTCAGAAAAATACGACAGTTAAAAGGAAATAAAATTAATTTAAGAATCAAATTTAATATTCAAATTAGAAGATAAATATATATTTACAAGATTTCTGGGAGTATTTAAATGCGAAATGGTCCAACATGGATTATTGTAAATGCGTATGTTTATGATGACAAATTTGTATACAGATGAAGATATAGGAAGGAGGCGTGCGGACTTAAAACATAACTAGAACAGAGATATAGCCATCCTTTCCGACAGTCAAGCCTCACAAATCGCACTAAAGAAGACGTAAATTATGTCTAAAGTGCTCCGGATGGTACGGAGCAAACTAGACCAATTCAAAGTACACAATATGGGAAATGAAGCGGCGGCAGAGCAGGCAAAAATGGGGGCAGAAGTGCCCATAATAGGACCAGAATCGTATTGTTGCATAGGAAAATACGCAATACGGCAAGAACTGAGAAACGAACAAAGACATCTGCGGCAATCAAGCCGGGCCGAGAGACCAGGTATAAGAAAGGCGAAATGTGTTTAAGGCAGCTTTAATCAGAAACGATTTAAGCAAGAAATATCCTTGGCAAAGAACAGACAGGACTAAAACTTGGAACAGGTACAAACAGTATTGGCATCTGTCGATTATGTGACACTGACAAGGAATCCTTAAAGCACATCAAATCTGATTGTGTTGCCCCATACAGAAGAAGATGCATTGTCTTAAGGAAGCAATTCTTATGCTGGGAAGACAGCAATCCTTAACTGCAGAAAAATTCTTGAAATCTTGCAAGAATCAGGCATGATGGAACTATAGGTAGGGGGCACAATAGATATAAGTAAGTACTTAATAACAAAAAATAATATATAAGAAAGCTTGGAGAAGTCTGCTAACAAAAATGCTCTTTGCAAGGGTATAACAAAAAAAAAACCCGAAAAACAATAAAAAAAAATTGTGTGGCCTCTGTTTTGCGTCTGAAACCGTATCCTGTTGCCCTTGCAGCTCCTCCTTCAACTCTTTGTGCTACATCTCCTCTTTCTACTCCTGCTACTGCTCCTGCTCCAGCCCATTCTATGCGTGTTTTGGTGTTTGTGTGTGATTCCCGCATTTGTTTGCTTGGCTAATTTAACAGCAAGTTTCTCATATGTACAATATATGTTTACTCGTATATTTCCACTACTTGTCTGTCTGTCTGCCTGTCTTTGTTCGGCATTTGTCTGCTGCCAACATCAGTCGCATCACATCAATAACCAAAGATAAATATTTGCGTTCAACTGTTGCTAGTGACAGCTTCCATCATGCGATTTGTTTTCCCAGGTCTTGAGTCCTCTTTATGTCTTGCTATCTGCAGAGCATTTGCTTTGTTATGAATCTGCACAAATTGCAATTAGAACATCTTCTTTCCTTTTGGGTCGACTCTCGGCCGAGGCATCCTCGTGCTGCCAACTTGTCACTGGCAGCTGCTTCTTGAATTATCTATATGTATTTATTTGTGACGGTCTGCTGAAAGGCCTTGCCATCAATTCGGGTTCAATTAGTAGCAGTCAATTTGACTAAGTGCCACCAGCATCAAATATTCACTTTTCCATACCTAAAGCAAGCAGAAGATACTTTTAAGGTCAACCCCAATAGTTGTCAGAATGATGGCCAATTACCTACACCGTACCGGACACTTGTCGATAACCGAAATAAATATGACACCCATTTAAATATATATAATACTATTGATTTAGTCTTTAACAGCTGAGTTGCCAAATTGGCATATTGGAAAAAAATCTCCTTGAGATTTAGAAGTTCACCTAATTATTTAGTATATTTCTAAAAAAAACCGGATCTTCTTTTCTTATCTCAATAGTAGATTTGTCTAAAATGTAGAAAATAGGTTTCAAAATTCCATGGTATTTTTGTAAGTGTACACAGAATTCTTACATTATGATTTCAGGTCGATTTTATTTTTCAGAGTGTTTCAAGTGTATTTCAATTTAAAACTTATAATATAAAAGTTTATAATATTCCATCTATATCTGTAAAGCCTTTGATATTATCAAACTGCTGCAAAAAGTTGGTTGAGCTGTAGAACTGAACCAAATTTGGACCTTTTTTTGACCACTTTGTAACCACTTAAAATAAATAAATTTTTAATTGTTTTGCGGTCTAGTTTAGCGCGTTTTGCTTGCGCTGAAAATAGTACGGATTCAATTTATTTATACCGCTTACAATGAGTAAAATTCAACGAGAATGCTTCCTAGTTGGGGGTTGCCACATGGCTATTTTATTTTATTTTTTTTGGTATTTTCTTCTGTTTCATTTTTATTTATTTCATTTTTTACGTAATTTAATCAGACGCACTCTTTGTATTTATATATATTTGTACACATTTGTACATCCACCTGTGCAATTTTATTTTTTTATCCTTGCCCATTGTTCTAATTTAACCTAATTTCTGCTTTGCTGCGCTTTTATAATAAAAATTTTTGAAAATTGCTTTTGCCAATTTACTCCCATTGTTTTCATATATTTTTTTTTCAGCTAGATATACCCACAACAAGAACAACAGGTTTTGCTTTTGGGCAACTGCTGTAGGGAACATTGGTGGGAAATGCGAATACAAAAATAACAACAGAGAAAACCTAAAAAATAATGAAAAGGATCAAATTGTGCTGAAGCATTGCGCGCATCATAAACGTAGAGAGAAAAAACAAATACATATAACAAACTGATTATCAAGGCACTCAAGAGCATCTGCTGCTGCTGCTGCTGCTGCTGCCGAGCAAGACTGAAATTGTGAGTGGTAAAAGAGAGGTTAGAGAGGGGTTGGGGCCAGGTGATGGCAAGACAAAAGGCAGCAGCCGTCACTGGTCTCTGACAGCGCTGCTGAGCAGCTGGCGTTGTTTACCAATTCCGTCTACCCTTCTCTCTCTTTCTCTTTCTCTCCCTCTCTTTCTCTCTCTGTGTCTTTGTTTCTTTCTTTCTGTCTGTCCCTGCTACTCTCTCTTTATCTCACTGCCGCCCTCGTTGTGCCTCCAAAAATGCTCTGGGCGATTAAAAGGTGATTTCCTGCTTTTTGTTTGCAATTTTCAGCAATTTCATTCTATACAAAAAGTACGTGTATTTTGCGAGCAGACGTGCCCTTAAACATTACATTAATATATATATACATATATATATGTAGGTGTGTGTGTGTGCGTGTATGTGATTCAAGTGTGCCTGTTGTGAAAGCCGCTTAGAGCGCCTGACTGCACGCCTTATCGTTTCCATCGGTTTTATTGGTTTTGTTTGCCATTTTTTTAATTTTTTATTTTTAAAGCAATTTGTGGTCAAAATTTTTAGTGGCTGATTGTGAATGTAATTGCTTTGTGTGTGCATCGAGCTTCACTTTTCAATCAGCTAGCACAACAAAGACTGATAGAACCATAGAGAGGGGGAGAGAGAAAGAGGTAGGGAAAGCCACTTTGCCACTACACTTACCACCCGCCGTAACCCCTACCCTTAGCAAGCAAATTTTGAGCTAAGCAGCATTGTGACGAGTCCAACAACTTCAAAGTAAAGAGGAAGCATTTCTTCAAAAATACACAAGAAAAAAAATAAATAACATTCGAGTGGTAACATCAAAAAAAAAAAAAAAAAAGTGGTAAGGAGCAGAAGAGGGTTAACCACAAGCAGGTGGCTCTAAACCAGTTTTTGTGTGTGTTTGTTCAGTTTACTTCACTGATATATATTTTGTGTGGCAACCGCATGCATATGGAAGTCACATAATCCCTTTAATGAAGTTTCCTCTTTTTCCTCTTTCGTCTCTTTCGCAAAATTGTATTTTTATTTTATGCATCGCCCGCATTTTGCTCACCCCTTCACAGATGTTGTGGCTTTACCTGTTGGCTCAGATATATATGAAAGGAATGCAAAATGATGTTTCTTGGTTACTTTTTGGTATATTGGCAATTAAAGGTAAGGCTGTAAACCCTTTTGAAATTACAATTAATTGTGGTTTGAATCATTTTCTCTTGACTCGAACAGATTTTAACAGATTTTACAGCACTAAGAATCTTTGTAATAGTATGTAATGTAAGAACTTTAATATAATACCTTCATAATATACTTATGTTGAGTTGTGGAACTGAAAGAATTTGTCTTGGATGTCTTAGCCCATCTCTAATAAAAAAAAGAATCTATTAAAATATCTTTATTTGCGGCATTTCCAGACTGATTTGTATATTGCAGGGTATTCGAAAATGTGGCTATTCGCTTAAGTATTTCAACATTTTACTTGCACTTGAAATTGCGCGCTTTATTGACTTTAATTATAATTAAAAGTTGTTAGCATGTTGTTGCTCAGTCTGCGCTGTCTGCGATTTACCTGACCTTAATGTTAATGATTCTGTTAGGCACATTAGCTGGGGCAGGTAATAGGGAACGGGACAGCAGAAAGACTGGGGGACTGAGGGACTGAGGGTCTGAGTGGTTGCCCGGGGCGAGGCGTTCGCATTAAATATTAAATATGTTGACGTCCTGCGGTGCGTATAAGTAATTTAAGCAGCATACGAGGAGCCATTAAAAAGTAAGGACCAGCACACACACACACACACACAGGAGTTGGAGTCGTGCTCGGGCATTCGGCTCGTTAGCACATCGTGTCTCAGATGGCGCCCCCTCCGAAAAAAAAACAATGGTATAACAGTCAGGTATAAAATAAGGCATAAAATGGGCAGATAATGGCTATGGGGTGGCCAGAAACTCAACCAGGGCGGTCGCTTTATGAGCGCACTTAAAACAGCAGCAGCAGCAACAACAAAAAGAAATTTCAAAGCCATAAAACCTGAATCACTCCACCTGAGTGTGTGCAACTGTGTGTATGTGTGTGTGTGTGATGTGTGTGTGTAAGTGTTGCGTGCTTATATGATCATTAGCATAAAGTTAGCCGCCTGCTGGGCATACCTCTCCAGTGTGTACTCACCTCATGGCTGACTTCCTGACTGTTGCTCTCCACCTCAATGCTGGCCGACTGATCCAAGGACTTGGGCATCGCATTCAGCTTGGCATTTAGCTGCCTGTTTAGCTGGTGCTTGTGCTCCTGCTCCTGCTGCAGCAGCTCCTCGCGCAACTCCTGGACAATCACCTCGGTTTGCTGCTGTCGCTCGCGCTGAGCGGCCAGCTCCAGTTTCAGTTGCTGATAATCGTTGCGTATTGTGGCGAGATCCTCGTAGGCAGCCCCGCCATGCCGCACATCCCTGGCCACGTTGCTAGCCGTGCGTTGCAGCTCGACCAGTTGTTTGCGTATCTCCGATATCGACTGTTGCAGCCACTCGACAGTCAGGCGCTCCTTGGTGCCGCTGTGTGTTGCACGCAGCGTTTGCATTTCGATTCTGCAAATTAAAAACAAACGGAAAAAAAATAGAGCAGATACATTAACATATTTTTTTTTAGCTCGATGCATGCAGTTTGTTGTTGTGCTGTTGAATTACCCGGGCCGGCAACTACACTCAGCAAAAGAATCGCCATGAAAAACAGACAATTTTTCTGGTATTTAGAAGTAATTATTAAATATGCCAAACAAAATTCTTTAAAATAAATATGAGTTTATTTTTAATGTTTTCCGTTATAAAGAGATTAATTTCTAAAAATTTTAAAAGAAAAACTCTCCTTTAAAATAAAAAAGAGTCTTAAGTTTTACTTAATATAATTTGCACTCTTGACTACTGTTTTATATAATAATCATTTAAAAAGCTAATGTAAGAATATTTCTTAAACAAATAAAAACAACATGGAAATTGTTGGAATATGTTTGAATATCACAGCAACAATTAATACTTAAGTAACGCTATATCGATTAGTATCGTATATCTGGTCACACTTGAATTGTGTTCTCTTGCATTGCATTCTCCTAAGTTAAGTTGTTCTCAATTCTTCAACGAGTAAAGATGCACTTGCGCATAATAAAGATAATCCTTAATTAGAAACTGCGTTTGACTCTTCAGTTTGCCACGTTATTTACAACTGAAGTAAATATACATTCTTATATAATTTTCTAAAATTAAGACCGCTTATTTCTCCGAGTGTAGAAAGGGCCGCAGCATGAATATGGTGCGAAAGTGCGCTCGAAAGCGCGGCAGTTGCGGCTCATTTTAATTGACTTTGAAATGGGCAACATGCGGTGCGGTGTAGGGATCTAATTTAAATTGACATTTTCAGGCAAGCGAACGTCAGCCAGATAAGGAGATTAGGGCGTGAGGCTTACAAGTAAAAGCAACATCATTTTCATGCAGTTTTTCAATTAGACACGTTTTGGATGGTATTGTTCGGGGGGCTTCCACAATGATTTCACACGTAGGCAAAGCAACTCTTGCAACTTTGCAAATAAGTGCTAGAACAAATTTTCACACACAGATACACACTCACACACACAAATCACGTCCAATGTCAACTGCAATTCACAGATGGGAAATAGAAAAAAATGTACAGAGAACAGTTGAAAACTTTCCTACCACAAAAACAAGAAACAACAAGTGCCCAAGCATGAGAACATATTGTTTAAGCATAGGAAAATAAATATTTTTCACTGTATTTGTTTTTCTTCTTTTTTTTTTTTGTAGCGTTGCCCAAAACGTAAAAGTGAAAATGTTGTAGCACTTGTGGCAGTTGGCAGAAGCCAGTTTCAAAACTTGAGCGCATTTTTGTGGCATTTCAGACAATTAAAGTAGTCAGTCGTGGAGTCGTCTCAAGTACCCGAATCTCCTCCCTCGTAATCCGTCAAGTTGGCTTGCGTAGAGAACTTTTGAATTTTGTTGTGGCTCAGCAGCTGTTGTTTTATTTCTCACTGTCAAAAGAGCAAAGCTACATGAAAATTTCATAAAGAAAAGTTTTCTTCAAAAAGCATGTTTGGTTGGAAATGTTGCGTATAAGTAATATTTCAATTTGCATGTTGTTGACTTATGCACGCTTGCATTTGATGTAGAAAACTTTACGACCTTTTCTGGTTTTCAATTTTAGTAGTGTTTTTTATTTTATCTTGTCGCAAATCATCTTCGTAAGTTAAGCATGTATTAAATTTGGTTATATTTTTTTTACTGATTTAAGTGGGTTTATTTTATTAAAAAGTTTACCCAACTACAACAATCTGGTTTTTTCTTTCTAGATATCTAACTAACTGGAACTTAAGAGTTAGTTGCTATGAAAATAGTTTGATTTCAATTTGCGAAAACGGAAACGGAAGCGTAAATTAAAGCTTGCCTGTAAAGTTGATCAATTTCGAATTTGTTATAATTGTTACATTAGCATTGTAATAAATCTGCACACATTAGGCTAGCAATTCTCAGCTCAGCTTATCAATCAAATTAAAAGAAAACACATCACACACAGTAAACTATTGTTGGCTTTGCACACACATACTCGCAGCGATATACCAGCTACGAGAAATTTGCACAATTTTACGCATGGCTGCAACAATATATATTTTTTTTATTTTATAGCTGAAAGCAGCACACGTCAAGTAAAAATTGGAAATGCTGTCAATGACATGGAATCAAATTGAAAAATGCACAACAAAGCGCGCGGCTCATGCTAGAGAAAATTTCACGTGAATCCGGGGTGAAAATTGTTCGGTTGAAAATTGTGCACATTTTAATTATCGAAATGGAAGCTGGACAGGATTGGCAATGGGAAGGGAAATGGGCTGAATGCGCCATTAAATTTAGACCAAATCAGTAAAGCCAAATGGTAGCCAGCTTAATAGATCCCAGGAGCTCCGGAACTGCTGCACCCCTGCACTCCAATAAAACTGTATCCCTCCACATAGCTTACATGGCTCGTGCCCCAATCAGATAACGACCTGGAGGTGCATGGCAGAAGGGCGTCGATGGAAGGGGCAGGGGGCAGGGGGCATGGGGGCAAAGGCAACCTCGAGTCACATAAACCACAGTTGACATGTCGTTTGACTGGCCCTGGCGAGTTCCTGTTTATGTCTGCCCGTGTGTGCATGTGTGTGTCTGCACACACATGCTGCGTTGTGTGTTGAATTATTTACGGTGTCACTGACAAAGTTTACGACGTTCACGACATGTCCAAACAAACAAACAAAAAACAGATATATATATATAATATATATATATATATATATATATATATAATATATACACATACAGCAGCGAAACTAACCAAAGCTATTTGTACAGTAAATTAAGTGAGCGCCATTTTTGTCGTTCGCTGCTCTAGATCAACACGCTGTGCGTGTGTGTGCGTGTGTGTGTGTGTCGATGAGACAATCATTATTAGTCAGCCAGTCGACAAATAAAACAAACAAATCACAAAAAAAAAAAAAAATAAATAAATAAAAATAATAATAAACTTTGGGCTTGGCCTAGGCCAGAAATCAGAAATTTTCTACGTGCTGCCGCCCAGCGATTTCTTCCTATCAATGCTAAGCTGCTTAAGGAGCTGGATTTTTCGACGGTTTCTTATTTGTTTAAATTAACTTGTGCTGTCTCTGGAGCAAATACAAACAGGGAAAATGCCATAACGAGTAAGAATCGTTACGTGCGTGCTGTCGACAGTTATATGCCCTTCCTGGCAGGTGTTCCCTTTGACATGTAAACTTTTTTTCAATGGCAATGGACATAGTAGATCCTTCAGAATATTTAGTTGCGGAATCAAAAAAAAAATCAACTTCTTAACTGCTTAAATACTGTGAGAGGGTTCTAAAAAATGTAGTGTTCAAAAATTGGTATAAACAGAAGATAACTGGAGATTTCATAATTATTGTTACTAATTTAATTATTAATAGTATAGCTAATATTTTAATTTTTCTTATTATTCATTTTATTAAGTTTTTTCTTACTATTTGGTTATTTATCAGAATTATTATGTATTTAAAAATGTATACAATGAGAAGATAATAAAATATATTATAATTTAAATATTAAAATTGTTTTTAATTCAATTTAATTTATTTTTTATTTTTTGTATTTATCTTAGTTCGACATATATTATTAATTATTATTATTATTAAAGCTTTTAACTTTTTAAATAGTTTGAGAGTGTTTTCAAAAATGTATATACACAGAAGATATTAAAATTCGTTTTAATTATTATTATACATTTTGTTATTTTATTTTAATTATTATTTCCATTAAATGTAGTATTATTATTTTCATATTATCGATTTCGTAGCATAAAACAATGTGGTAGAGTATGTCACAAAGGGAATCAGGCAAAATTCAGCGAGTCGTAAAAAGTGTTGCCTAATTCAGAGCGCTGCTAAATTGACTTGAGGCGTCTCGCAAAAGTGGGGCATGTGTGTGAGAATTGCTGATGCGCTACGCCCACAAATTTAACGCACACTAACACACTGCCAGTGTGCCAGTGACAGGCACTCGCAGTGCTGTGAGTTGAAAAACTTGAACGAAACTTGACAGCCAAAGTTGCAAGTTGCAAGTTGCAAGTTGAGAAGAACGAATTGGCATTTGTGGGCAACTATGAGCTAATAATGCTATCAATTTGCGGACTCACCTCAACTGATCCAATTCGCTGCGCATATCCGCATCCACGCTGGCCGCACTCGAGGTGAGCCGCAGGGATTTGCGTAAATTGTGCTCCAGCAGCTCGTAATCCTCGCGCCGACGCGTCATCAGCGCATTCAGTTGCTTCGTCAGCAGACGCACCTGGTCGCCCAGCTCCAGGCTCTGCTCACCCTTGTTGCCGCCACCGCTGTTGCTGCCGCTGCTGATGCTCCTGCTGCTGCTGCGTGGCTGCAACACCTGGGCGCCATTTGAGAGCAGGCCCAGCTCGCTTTCCTCGGATTCGTTATCGTTGTCCTCATCGTTGACAAAGCGCAGCAGCTCCACACTGGATGGGACAGTGCTGGACAGGGCTGGAGCTGAGCTGGTTGCTTGCGCATCGCGCAACATGTTGTTCACATCGCTGATGACGCCGGTGGTGGCGCCACGCGCGCTTGCCACCGCTAACAGCATCAGCAGCAGCATCGATACAATTACGCGCACCATTTTCGATGCGTATATTGTAAATTCAAGTCAAGGTTTTCTGGATGGCTTTCAATGAGTTTCAATTTAGAATTGTTTTGGCATTTGGTATTTATGCAAATGTTGGCCACGTTTCATAGCGGACCGCAGCTAAACACCTTATAAAAAATGCGGCGCTAACAATATTTGAATTATGCGCGATTAATGCTTCTTCTTCGCCGCCGCTTTGTTGCCTGCCGCACGTTTGTTTAGCATTTGCCACTTGGGGCCTGGCCTTTTATTGAAGCGGCTTCACACACAAAGACCACAACATACACAAATACACACACACACACTCGCACACACACGAACGCTAAGAAGTCGACTCAAATTGCTTGAGAAAAGATTGTCTGACTTTCACTTTGTGGCTACTGCAGCACTTCGCGTACGAGGCAATTGGCGCGACAGTCGTCGTAGGACTAAAGCGGCGCGCAACAGCAGCGTCCTTTATATACGCCAGTCGTGGCCGAAGCGTCGCGTCACTAAATTCGAAAGAGCGCCGAAATGCGATACAGAGAGAGAGAGAGAGAGAGCGAACGAGTTGTGGTTGAAGAGTATGCAAAACTGGAACTTAACCGACACTAAGAGAGCGAGAGAGCATAATACTAAGAGCAGCGTTTGCCCTTCCGCATGCCTTACAATGGTAACTAGAGTCTGCTTTGTGAGCAAAAGCCAACTATCATTAATTGATAATCATTTTTGTAATGATAAACAATTAAATTTAACTTAATTTACAACAGGAATATACTTATTTTTTTGATACCTTTTTAGCTTTTTAGGCTTCCTTGGCGCATATGTATGCTGAATATCCTTTTGCATATCATCCTGGCAAATGGCGTGCCTGCGATCAACTTGCAAGCAAAGGCAGATGTTTTCGCATCTTTCTGTATGAATACTAAATGTCCTTTACAACAGTAAGGTTCTGTTTGAGAAAATACCTTAAGGAAATATTTACTATGCGAATTAATTAATATGTTCATCTGAAAATTGTTATATTTGAAGTATTTTCGTCTATTTATGCGTTGTTCTTTTGGCTAGTTTTTATTTGAGTGAGGAATAAAATGTATTTTCTTAAGGAATCACTTCAAAAAAGGTCAAAAATAGTTAAAAGATTTGATATCTCTTTTCAAATGGGATCCAACTAATTAATTCAATTCTCAACAATATAGTCACATATTTCGTATACATTTAAAAAATACTTTTCATCATTAAGAACAAGAATTTAAGCCTCTATATTTATAAATTAAAAGTAAACATTAATTAATCCTACAAGTAAATACAAAATTTGTTAAGCATTACATTTAAACGTTGCTTAAATTAATTCTTCACATTCTGCAACACTTAGAAACTATTGTCTGTTGTCACATTTCTTTGGTAGTGTTGGAAAGTGCAATTTTCGAATGCCGAACAAAGGCTGAATGCTGAAAGTAAGCGAGCCAAAAAATGTACTAGAAAATGAAATTTATTTAGCGGCATTGTTTCCAGGAGCTCGTGTTGAATTTGCAGCATTATTGTTGGGTCAGAATGGAATATGCCGAAAATGGCGCACTTTGTCGCCATGTGAAGAGTTCCTTTAAGCCAGGAGCAAGCAGCCTACCGTGCAGTGGAGGGGGAGGGAGAGGGGGAGGGGTTGGAGGTACGGCATGCCATTCGGGTGGTGCGCTTCACTGCACACGTCAAAAAAAAAAAAAAAATGGGGTGAGTTGATGGCCATGTCGTGTTGGCCACTGCAACAGTTTGCTGGTCTAACTCTCCCTTTCTCTATCTCTATTCCTCTATCCCCCCTCTCTTTCTCTCTCTCTCTCTCTCTCTCTCTCTCTCTGTCTCTCTGTTGCCCTCTATCTGTACCCTATAGTTGGCACTTTGTCTGTGCTGTGTTTTGCAATTTGCAATATTTTTGCTTTTATTTTGTAATGCAAACTGTGTCGGCCTGTGGATGGAGGGAAGGAGGCACGGAGGGTGGCAACGAGGTGAGGGGCAGTGCTGACCAGCAACATCAATGGGTTTATAATCAACTGCCAGTTGCCAGTTGAAACATGAGTTGCTGTTGTTGCACATATTTTGAGCGTTGCATGCTATTTAGCTATATGTGGATATTTTTAATTTTAGTTGCCTTTTGTTTTGTTGTCAATTTGCGGCGCGGTGTTCTAGCTTGTTGCACATTGCATTAATGCAGGCAACTCGTGCGGTTAACAGCGCATCCGGCGATTCCCCATACCCAACATACCCCAACCCTAGACTATTAACCCCTACACAATTGTGAGTGCCGCAGTGGTGCTGATGCACTCAGAAAAAAGGTTGTTTGAAATGTAAATGGTTATTCTTATTTTGAATTAGGTATTTGATAAAAAAATGTGTTAAAACTGAATGTCCTTTTTTCTATTTTTCATATATAATATCTTTTGTTAAAAAATATTTTTCGAAATAATTTATATTTTATATAAGTAAAAAAGTGTTTCTAAAATGTAGAAAAACCTATGAAAATTTATATTAATTGAATTTTAAGAACTATCCAAAGTGTTTGCTTATCTGAAGCTTTAAAATACTAATGTTGATTAATAATATTGGAAAAAACCAATTATTTTACAAGTTCTGTGGTCATATTTACAAAACACCCGGGAATACTGAAACCTTTTCTGAATTAAGAAAAAACAGACTAAATTTTTTAGAAATATAATTTCTTAATAATAAGGTGAGCTGCTCTTGGCGCATTTATATATACTTTTTCGGCTACTTTCTCTGAGTGTACTCTTTGTGATGGTGGCGGTTCTGCTGTTGCTTTCGGTTGCCCTTTCAACTCTGCGACTTGCAACTGTGCAACTTTGCTACTTGCTTCCATTTGCATTGCACTGCGTGCTTTTCTTTTTTTTCCCATTGCATTGTCGCCTGGTTCCCATTGTTGTAGTTGTTGCTATAGTTGTTGTTAATACTGCTATTGTTATTGCTGGTTTTTATGGTGTTGTCTCTCTGCCAGCCAGATGCGGTTCACGTTATGGTCAGACCATATTAAGCTAATGGCCTGTAAGTAAACCTTGCCGCCTGTCGTTATTGTCGCTGCATTTAAGCCGTTTACGATCTACTTCGAGGTTGCGAGTACTTTTACATTCGAGTGCTTTAGAATTTTATGCCATCAAATGCCATATTCACAATATTGGTTTCGAAGTGCAAAAGGGAAAACATTCTGGGAATTTATTTGTATTGACGCGAGAGTGGTTGTAACATCTAAAAAAAAAAAAAAACTCTAATAAAAACTATAAATAAAAAGTTAAATTTTTGCAGATGTGAAGGAGCAGCCATAAAAATATTAATTAACAAGGTTATTCATGGAGATGGGTTCACTTATAGAATTGTGATTGGTAACTTAGAAGATTGAAAATTAAATAAAAAAATAAAATAAAATAAAATTATGAATTAACAAAGATACTACATTTGATTTATTTGCAAATAAGAAACTATTTCTCGGCTTATTAATTAAATAGAGCTTAAAAAACATTAATAAAGAAGAATACTCAGAATAGAAATGAGTTCGCTTACAGAAATGTGAATAATTATTGTATAGCTTACGATTCTTCTTCGTTCCTTAACTTCACTTAAAACTAAATAAGTTTCAAAATATCAGAAAAGCATCCACTTACAAATAAGATATAATTCAATTTTAGACAGTCCGAATGAAGTACGCTAAAGAATTTTCCATCCAGGTTAAGTATTTGTTTAAATACATTTTTTAAAATATATTAAAAAAAAAAAAAATCGTATATGGAAATGATATTAAAAAAAAAACTCTTAATCAGGAGTCAGCGGAAAAAAGAATTAAATTATAAAAAGAGCTCACCAAATAATAAAGAATCATCAGCAGCTACAAATGAAAATATTAAAATTTTATTAAGTAAGAAGATATAAGCAAGTTGGCATATGCAATAAATATCATATTTAAATGAAGTAACACTTTATTGAGTCAGAATATATAGTTTGCAATACAAATATTTGAATGCCGCTAAACCCAATTAGAATAACAATCAATGCCCTTGCAGAGGTGCATTCAAATTAGAGCAGGTGTTTTCTGAGCTGTTCACAACAGAATAGCGTGCGTGTTTTGATACGAGTAGAACGCCCCAAACACTGTTGATTGTTTGCATAAGCATGCAGGCACACACACTTGGACACACAACACACACACAGTGGAACACGCGCACTGTCTGTTGACCAATTTGGCTACGGCAACGCCTTTGAAACAGAAAGCTGCAATGTGCGTGAGCCGGTTTCTGCTTTGTTTGCCACACAGTGCTGCAAAGACGCACGCGATGCGGCGGGCAACAGTTACCCAAAAAAGTATCTGCGCAGTCGCAGCTTGAAGCCTGCGCACTAATCATCTGAGTGACAACAACAGCAACAGCAACAACAACAGCACCAACAACAACAACAATAGCTGAGCAATGCCAACCGGCTGCTGGCTAACGGCAGGTGCAAAAACATTTACCACTTAAACGAAAATTTCCTACCTGATTTAATCTTTTTTGCCTCGCCGCCAGCCTTGCTGCCCCTCGCTCTTCTCCCTTTGTCCCATTGTCGTGCTGCCTTGTTCTTCTCTACGGTGTTTTTTGGTTGCCAAGGTTTTATGTCGCTGACGCTGCTGTTGTTTCTGCTGCTGCTGCTGCTGTTGTTGTTGCCGCTGCTGTTGCAGTTTCTGGGTTTCATCGCTTGCTCCTTGGCATAGCATGTTGCGTGCATGCTTCGCTGCTCATACACAGACACACACAAAGAGAGACAGAGAGGGAGAGAGAGGGAGAGAGAGAGAGAGCGTACACATGATGATGTTATCACTCAAGGCTGTTGCCGCATGGCTGATTCCATTCCGAGCTGGTGTGTGCATGTGTCCTTCGTATTTGTGTTAGTGCTTTTGTATTGCTGGCAGCAGCAGCAGCACCACCAACACTACCAAAAACTAAAAGCAAAAGCAGCCAAAGGCAGGCATCGTGTCGAGTTCTGCCTTTAGCCAGAATTTCATGCTGCGTTCCCCTAATGAATGACCCACGCGAATCTGAATGCGAAACGCTGCCAACGACGCCTGACAGCTGTCTCTGCTGAGATACAGAAAAAAAAAACAAAATGCCTAAGCAAAAGAAAAACAACAAAGAACCGAAAAAAAAAACTGAACCAATTGAAAAACCATAAAATCCCATAGCTATGGCACAGACTCTAGCTATGTGTGGTCGTCATTTTGTGCATGTGTGCCTGTGTTGGTGTGTGTGTGTGTCCGTCCGTATTCAGAGCCAAAAGCAACAGCTGCATCTACAACGCACATCCTACGCAAGCGCAAAAAATCAAGTTACCCGTATGAAAAACGTTACAATTTAGTGGCACAAATGCAAAAATCATTTTAATT